GCGATGATACCCTAACCCTTGTTAGGCACGTATTGAGGGAGTAATCCATGAATCAATAATGTCTATGCGATGTAGGCAATGATCCTTAGGGAGAGTCCTTATGAACAAACATATAAGGAAATGCGATGTAAGGAGATGAGAGGTAAATATGATGTAGGAGACGACCCTTAGGATAAATCGTTAGGGAAGGTACTTAGGAATAAAGAAGTTAATGGGGATGGGTAATTGGGTTAATTGTTTGATGATTAAACATAATAATTATATTATTGTGGGTTGAAAACCCTATGTACTCACTAGGTTTCCCAACCTGACCCACTCAGTTTACTTGTATCACAGGTGACGATGTGAAGTTACATTACACTGAGAGATTAAGGAGATATAGATCACTAGTGTAAATGAATGTAGTTTTGTTTATGCTTATGTTTCTGTATTGACGATGACATCCAAATGTTTTAAAAGGAATAAAAATACATTTCTTCGGAAATGCTCTGATAATGAAATTATCATGTTTTTCTACGAACAATTTCCGTAACGTTTTTATTGAAATAGATAATCTTATTTTTAAAGAATAAACAAAATCGATCTTTTCTGGCCGTGAAAATGGGGATGTCACATATACCTTTTTATGAATCAAACCTTCACCTTGGGATGGGATACGGTTACAGCTTTTAGGTCGTCTGACTTGTCGTTTGGGCATTAATGGTGGAAAACAACCATGACTTCATCTGGTTCTTCGTATCCAGGTTGAACTAGCACATGAAACACAATCTTTATATATGTTGATGGGTATGTTTCCATTGTGATGTACTATGACACCCGTGCATTGCATTATTGATATCTCACTTTCTTGAATACCGCCATAACATGAGTACAAGGTATACCTGAAAATTGCCATTTCCTACACGTACAATAACGAATTTCCAAGTTTACTATACCATTTTATTTGGTCAGTTACCTCATATATGCTTTGATCAATCTGGTATACCCGAAAAACAGATGATTTGTTGATCCTCCTGTCGATGAGCTTCTCAACATACTCAGTAACATCTTTTTTTGCTTTTAGCTATAACAAACATTTACATATAAGTTTTCATGCACAATAAATTACACTACAACTATCATTGAACTATTACAATATAGGCAAACACTTACCTCTAACATTACATCACTAGCACCACCATTGTTTCATAGTTTCTCGAAAGAAATCGATCAACATTGTGATCAGTTGTTTCTGTGCATCTCTTGATAATGCATTGACAGACTTGACACTGTTTGATGTCATGATATTGTACCGAACCATAGGGAAGCATGACCTTGCCCAACTCTCATTACCGATTCTATCTAGCCATGTCTAACAATCATCGTTTAGTGCATGATGTAGCCCACTCAAGCTTTCTTTGAAATCAGACTCTCGATAAATATTTGCAACCTCCCAAAACAAAATCTTTGTTCTCTCTTGCTTTCCAATCTTTTCTCTAATGTTCATTAACAAATGGTGATAACAGAGTCCGTGCATGCATTTGGGAACACAACTTGAATGACCATTTCAATTGAATTGGCTCTATCTGATATGATAGCCAAAGATGACATGTCCCCAATATATTCTTTGAGTCTTGATAAAAACCAAATCCATGACTCTCCACTTTTAATGTTGTTAACACCAAATGTAATAGGGAGAATTTGGTTATTACCATCCATGTCCACTGCTAGGAATTGTTGAATTAGGTGTCTAAGCCCATACTATAACTGGTATGTACTTGACCCGAGAGTAGCATGGTCCATTTGGGTTGCATTTCACCAAGACAATTTGATAGGACGGACTTTTGAGAAGAGGTTATTTATGATTTATTAATATATTATAAGTTCTAATATATTAATATGAAATTATATGATTTAATTAGTATTGATCAAGAATTAATTTGGAATTAATTTAGCTATAAAAAAAACTAATTAAATTAATGTGGACTAATTGTGTAAATTAATTATATATATGTTTTGGGCTTATGATACATGATAAACTAAGTTTATGGAAGAATCCACAAAGATTTAGCCCACTTGAATCATGGATTATGGATAGTAAGCCCAAGAGTATGGATTAGGGGTTACCCATGACTCTTGGATTCCTAACATATATATAGAACACCCCATAGCTAAAATTGTGACCTAATGTTCTAGTAGTTCATGGAGGCAATTTCTAGTGGAAGAAACTCTCTCAAAAGTCTTGCTTTGTCCAAGGTGTGTTGTGATTCCATTTGGGGCATTCACACTATTGGTGCTAAGTTATTAAAGGCCAAAACCTACAATCTACAAGAAAGAGGTAATTCTATTATTCAATTTTATGTTGTTTATGTCAATTGTATGCTAGTTGTAGGCTTAATGCTTTGGAAACAATATTGCATGTATAATTAGAGAAAACATAGATCCAAGGCATTTTGGGTTGTATATGCACCATAGGATGTTGTAGGATACCAAAACCCAACAATGGTATCGAATCCATGAGTTGTTTTCTATTATATTTTATGCAAATGTGTTATTCTTCAAAGCTGAAAAACTGTTTGACAGCCCTACTCGACGAGTCTAAGCTTGAACTCGACGAGTAGGATGAATTTTGTCATGGAATCGTCGAGTGCAGTAAGGGGCTCGGCGAGTTGGCTGTCCAGACAACAAATTTTCGAGTGTTTTGGCCTGTTTTGGATTACGATAATCACCACAAAATGTTTTTGTTCATAAAATTTGATTTTGTTACTATGGTAATGATTATCCTCATCCAAATAAAAGATAATTGTCATATTTTCAAGATTTGTATTAGTTTATAAGATAGACTAATTCTTGCAAATAGTTTGTAACATCCGGATTCCCAGGTATATTATTCTAATATTTTATTTTGGAAACTGTGAAGGAACTCGGTGAGTTGATGCTTAGACTCGCCGAGTAGGGTCGCGGATTATCATCGGCCGCAGGGTCGTACAGTAGCCTCGAGTGGCGTATGTTTTGTATGTGGTATTTTGGAGAACTCACTAACCATTTATGCTTACAGTTGTTGTGTTATGTGTTTCAGGTACTAGCAAGGACCGTGGAAATGCGTCGGCATGAATCGTACACACAGAGAGGAGATTTGATTTGTGATCTTGGGATATGTTTGATTTGATAACTATTGTGGAATACTTTTTGAGAATGTTATATATTTAAAATTTGGTGGTTGAAAAATGAAAAATGAAAAATGAAAAACTTGTTTTGAAAATCTCGTTGTTACAGAAAAAGGCAATAAGAAACCTAATTGTCTCAGAGTGAAGGTTGCCAGAAGGTGGACGATGCATACCGGAGAACGACAACATCGCAAGCGCTGACCTATGAGTCTAGGAAAAGACAAAGAGATGTATTCAGTCGTCTCACAACACCTCTCCCACAGAAGGAAAACACACCGACCTACAGATGAATAAGCCAGAGTATAAAGCTAAAATCGCAAAGCAAAAAAGTGCCTACTCACGGGCAAGGGCACTAGCCAGGCACTCAATCGATGGTCGGGTCGTGACCAGCCAGAGAGCGATTTGAAATTCAAATTACATTTTGGCCAATGGAGAGTATGAACCAACACCTTGTGGAATGAAGGAAATAGGCACCAGAGGCACCAAAGCTAGAGGCGGAATACCTATCCTCCTGCTACACATGTTTTCCTATGGGAGAAAACAAACAGGTGTTCCTGATGCACCAAACGGCATCCCAAGCGATGATGTGAGATGCAAGATGGATAGGTGCGCCAGAAAGCGTGGGTGGTACCCTCACCAAGCCAAAGGAAGGTAGTTCCCATGTTTGCATCTCACACTGTGTTGAGAATAAAGGAAAGTTCAAGCACCTCCAGAGCATCCACAACAAAATTCATCTTTCTCACACTGGGAAATGTTGGCGGAAACACAAGGAAACCCTAACCTATCAAGAAGCACTTGTAGCAGATGTGACACAGTTGCAATGAGATAGCCATAGTAGAGCGCTCAATCATAAATAAAGTGGAGGCCTAGAAAAAGGAGTATGGTAAAACTCCGTACAGGATAACCATACTCCAAGCACCGAAGCAAAAACCGGGCATACGCCCTGACATTTAGACATTCAGGGTCTATTGCCTCACGTTTTTCTTTTTGTCTCTAGAAATAATATATTTTCATTTTGAAATACCCTTCCAGAATTCTATATTGCAAAAACACAAAGTATAGAGGTTGTGCATATTTTCCAAGTAGCAAAAACGGCTGATCACCTATGCTACTTGAGCAAAATCTATATAAGGATCCAACCGTAGGTCTCAAAAGAGTCATAATCTTTACCTACAATGTGACAATAACATCTTAGAGATGAGAATATATAAATCCCAATTAACGGCACAGAACAAGGGGTTCTCAAATATTTATAACCTTTCCCCTAATAATCCAACAATAAAAGGTCTTGAGGTGATGATCTCGGCCAATGTACTAACAGCTAGACCATACAGTACAGTCCACAGAAGTGACTAACATTTCACAGCTTAACACAATAACTAAGCATATAATTCAACGGAGCATAGCTCAATAGTAGCAGCTATGTGATGCCTAAAGCACACATTAGCCGATTAACACAAACCCTAGAACAAGTGAGTGTGCAGAAACGAATTGTAGTGGAATAACCTGTCCTTAAAGGTACCACATGCCAATTCAACATATGTGTATACATACAAAAAGAAAGTAGAAGAGAACACTTCCATGCCAAGTACAAAACAAAATGCAAAGTTTATGGTTATTAATGAGCAACATTTTTTTACTATACACATAGTACATAGAAAGGCAACTACATTACACATTGGACAAAAGGGCAAAACACAAATCAACCCTCGAAATATGAGGAAGAACCTCCTGGATTCGGCCTGCAACAAAACTAGAGGAAGCCGTCATAATACAGCTTCCCAAAGCGAAAGAGTCCTGCGAAATCCATATCAGCAAGGGACGATAGGGTGACATCCACCTCTTCAGCCCTCCTCACAACACGGCCAGGATTTGGGACTTCAGGTTCTCCGAACTGGTGGAATAACCACCTAGTTGCTTCCCCTTTTCAAACCCAAGGGCCTCACGTGCCTCACGAACACCCTGGATCCGGTTGTCAAATTCCGCACTCTCGATGACTTTATCAATTACGCAAACCACTCCTTTCTCTAGCATCCATTGCAAACCACCTCGAGCAACTGCACCATCAACATGAGCACGAGCCAGGTGATGTTGGCACCTGGGAAACTCACTCTCCAGTACACCTTTCTCCTGAATAAGAGAAATCACTTGGTCTTCAAGTCGCTATGATCAGTCCTCCAAAGTGGCCACATGATCCTCCAAAGCGGCCTTTTAGCACACCACAATACAATTCTGCTCAGACAGGGCTCGACGTTCAGCCTCTGAATCACGAACTTCCTCTCTCATGCCCGCCAAGGCACCTTGCAATACTTACAACTACCTATCATTTTCACTGGCACCACAAACCCGGTCGGCGGCTGCAACCATAAGGGGCAGAAGTATGAGTCACGACATAACAAAGGTCACTAGCCATGCGAGCACTTAATTGACCCGCAAGCGAACTTATTGTAGCAGCGGGATGAGCACATCTACTCCACTCCTGGGCGACAGTGGCTTCCGATAGTAAGGAATCTCTAGTAATCGCCCAGCCTGGAACATAGGCCTCGAAATATAGGGAGTGAGACAAATTTCCTATTTTGTCAACCAGGGAAGGCTTCTTGCGCTAGAACGAATCTCCAGGCGTACTCGACGCACCCCAGACATAGAGCCAGAATCAAGATTAACCAAGGGTGAACCAGCATATGGTGAGGGTGACGCCTACGAAGAATTAGGAACCACTCTTATCTCTTTCTGTTCAAGAACATAAAACCGATCACCAAGAATACCACTGATACCGCCAAGAAGCTTGGCCACAGATACAATCCTATGTGCTTTACGAGGATGAAGACCCACATCATCAGATGCTATCTACTCGTCTGATGACGACACCACGTGCAGACTCCGCCTTTTCCGAATAAGAGCATTACCTTTTCCTACCTGTACCACCACAAACAATCCAGAAGGAGTAGGAGCCAGCAAACGAACTGGGGAAATGACCCTAACGGTTGGCCGGGAAGGCAAAGCAGGTCTGTTAGAACCAGCATTTCCCCCTTCCACCAAGAGCAATACAACAAAATCTAGAATGCGTCTTTCAGATACATGAGGGGGAAGAGCTTCTACAAGATCAATCTCCCCGTGATAGAGCCTACCCCGATAGTGACTGCGCAGGGCCATCTCTAGTGAAATCTCGACTTTAGCACCTGCACAAATAAAATTTGAATACAAGGACTCATAAGATACACTGTTCCTACCCCATTTTTCCTTTTCAAAAAAGGGGGGGGGGGAGGGGGAGGAGTAGATGGAGACGAGTGTATACTGCATCTCACGACGTATAATTGCGTCATCTTCCAACGAGCTCGCCAGGCAGCACTCATACTAGCTGCAGCAAGAACGGAATCTTCCAAATTCTCCCCAACAGCAGTAATGTTTCGTAGTCGTTTGCCAAGAGTTAGTTTGCTCCCGAATAGTTTGGGAAGGCGGTCAGGATAGTCTCGTGTTTTCAAAAACCGACACCCTACAAGGTTCCGGTTAACCCAGAGCCATTGCCTTTGCCAAATTTTCTTCTGGGCGTCTTGTTTAGGGATTAACTGATGAATTCCTCACCTTTTTGCAAAAGTACAAACACTAGAATTCATAGTTGAACAAAACAAGTAACTGAAGACCCAGAAGGTGGGTACACAATGTAACGACCTAATTTTCAAAAGAAAAATTTTCATTTTAAATAGTCAAAACATCTCCAATAAACCATAAAATCTCGAGTACATTTGTTTTCAAATTCATAACATCAACACTATTATTCCAAACATTAGAGTGTCCCATAAAAAACGCCGAGAGAGAGAGAGAGAGTGCATGCCACGCCATCAAACCTTGTCCTTGCCCTTAGACTTAGATGTACCTGAAACAAATCTACAAATTGTAAGCTAATGCTTAGTGAGTTCCCCTGAGGATACCTCACACAATACACATAATCACATAATAATATTAGCTATAAAAGCTACATAAACCACATAAGCCATGCATACAACATATAGGGATGTTGTGGGCTCGTCCCCAGGGTCTTACTCCAGGATGCCATGGGCTCCCCACATGGTGTTACACCTAAGTGCCATGGGCTCTCCCATAGTATTTACTAGGAAAGCCGTAGGCTGTCCACATGGTCTTATATCTGTTGGGTTTTGAGCATTCTAACACTCCTAAGTGTACATGCAACCCTAAATACCTTGGATCTATGTTTTCTCTATTATACATGCAAATAAGAACATCCAAGGTATTATCCTAATCTAGCATACAAAACAATGAGTGTAACAAGATAGAATACATACCTCTTTGATGTAGAAAGTCTTCATGAAGCTTGAGTGCCTAGCCCCAATAGTGTGGAAGCCTCAAATGGAATCACAATCATCAAAACACTTAGAATAACTTGAGAGAGTTCTACACTTCATGAAATCGGCTAGCCCTCTTCTTCACTTTCTAATGTGATTCTAGTGGCCGATTTTTGACAAGAATAAGATCTTTATATAGTGTTACAATTAGGGTAAATCCTTAATTGTCATGGCTTTCCATTTCCTTGGATCCATGGGTTCAAATACACCATGGAGCATCCATGGACCATCCTATGGGTTTTAGCCCAACTTGATTATCCATGGAGCATTAGCCCACTATATAAGTATGGATGATTTACACAATCAACCCATATATTTAATTAGTCTTCTTTTGATCACTTAATTAATCCTAGATTAATTCTTGATCAATACTAATTAAATAATCTTATTATTCTTATTATTAATATACTAGAACTTATAATATATTAATAACCATAAGTGTCTTATTTCTCTCATTATAGTCTATCCAAGTGCATGATGGTATGCAACCCAAATGGACCATGCCGGGTCGGGTCAAGTCTTACCAATTATAGTTATGGACTTAGACATTAATCCAACAATATCTGGGTGCCATGGGCTCTCCCGTGCTCTTTAAAAGGAAAGCCATGGGCTCTCCGCATGGTCTTACATCCAAGTGTCATGGGCTCTCCCATGGTCTTCCAGACAAGCATACAACATATACAACTAGCACACTTCCTAACACATAACCAACTATCATGCCACATAATAGAACTTCAGCTAATGTATCACATATCATAAAATGGGTCGGCCTTGGTGCCTTTGACCCATTGGTATTGTCAGGAGACTCACCTCTCAAGAATGCTGAATTGAAAAGATAGAACCAGATAAGTCCCAATGCGTAGCTCCAACTCAACTGCCTATAACCAACATGTGATTAACTTGTCAAAATCTCGAGATACCATAAATACCCTTAAAGTAAAACTTGGTTAACCTTGGTCAAAGTCCAAGTCAACAGTCAAGGTCAATAATCCATGTTGACCCCAACTCATCGAGTGCATCCAACAACTCGTCAAGTTCCTTTAGAGTCCATACAACAAAAATCCTGAGTCAACTCGCCGAGTTACCTGAGTAACTCATTGAGTTCCTTAATGCTCAGAAGACCGAAAACTCATGTAGACCAAAAACTCTAATTCCTCATAGAAATCACTCTGAATCCAGAAAACAGGTAAACCCTACTCGACTCGTCGAGTTGGCTAAGTAACCCGTCGAGTCACTTCAGTTCTTTTTGTGTTCAGTCCTTTCTAGTGGGATCCAAGGCTCCAAACTACAGATCCAACCCCCTATGGTGTAGTTATCATGTAAATTTGCAAACTCTCGAATGGCTAAAATAATAAAGCTAGGGTTTATACAATATTTAGGACGTGAAAAAGGGCCTAGACTAGGTAAAGGAAGCAACTTTATGTCATGAAAGACCTAGAGGTGTCTAGATCTGGAACCATATCCTCATGACAAGTCCAAATCTGAGTATGACCCATTTTTGCACCAAAAGTGACCATATTGTTCCATAAGATGAGATCTAAGCAAATAGAGATCAAGGTAGCAACTTTTTGCCTCTAAATGGATGCTAACAATAGGTAGATGCCGAATCTAAAGTCCTCTCTTCACTTCAATATCTTCAACCTTCAAGTTTCCTTCCAAAAGGCACAAATTCACTCTCCAAAGCTATGACACACACACACACACTCAAGAAAGCACCAAAACGCGGCTAGGGTTTCTCTCTGGATAGATAGGACGATGAAGGAGGGCACAAATGACCCATAAGTTCCTTAAAGAGGGTATAAACCCCTGAAAATCAGCGTTTTCCTTTATAGCGCCTACTCGTTGAATTGGGGCCTTCCGACTCATCGGGTAGGTTCTAAGTCCCGTTCTCATATATGATCTCTACTCGACGATTTGGGCTCTTCAACTCGTCGAGTTCTAGCACTAAAACCCTAAAAACTTATAAAATTAAATGATACCTGGAACGGGCGTTACACGCAACCTAAAGATCGAAAAATCGGTTCAAAATCGATGATTTTATTAACAACGCTCGGGGTCAACTCGTCGATCGAAAATCCATAGTGGTCCACAATCATGTTGAAGAAACCAGATGTTAGTAAGCGTATTCCCGCTTCGAATAGAGGGATCGTGAATCCCACCTTCTCTTGAGGGGAATCGTAGATCGATACCCCCTTTACCACAATCATTACACCATGCTTCAGTAAGAAACCAAAGCGATCTCGTAGAAGCTAAAATTCGTCTGCATTAGGGACTCTACCATAATGACCCATTGTCGAAAAAGATGAGTAATCGAAAAGGAAATTAATGGGATGTCCGGATTGATACAACAAAGCCAAAGCGGGGATGTGAGGATGAAAATCCTGGGGAAAACGGGGGATTTTAAAGGCACAACTAGCTTCACGAACCATCTCACAATGGAACTGACACACATTGACGACGCTATCTGAAGCCTGTCAAATGCTAGAGATAATCCCATACATACACGTGTTGAAATATAGGCTCGAACGGTGACGTTGTCAAGCCGATGCATACACCTACAAGCCTAAACGAGTTGTTAACGTATCCCTTAGGGGAACGTCAAAAGGGAAGTCAAACTAACACTGTGCTTGGCTGGTCAGAACCTAGTCTAAAGCCAAGTCCGGGCTTTTGCCAATGCGAAGATCACTGATATGGCGGTTAAGGTGCAGAGTCGCACCTTAACCCATCCTCTAGGAAATTATATCCCCGCAAACGCGGGACCAATCACAAAGTCCCACACGCTCATCAGACGATAGCCACGATGTAACGCCCGTAGATCCGGGCTAGTCACTTTAGAGACAATGAGCGTCAAAAATGACTTTTTGATAGAACATTATTTAGAATAGATAATCTTAACCAAGTTATAGTATATGTCACAAACGTTTTACGGCAAAACTGCGCGACATCGGGAATCGTAAAAAAATGAATTTACGGCAAAATACTTTCTAGTCTTAGAGATCTAGAAAAAAGTCATAGTATATTTTAAACTGAGAGCGTGCATAAAAAGAACCTCTAAATATGACTTCGTATGAGGAAGTTATGATTTTTCTAAGATTTAGCATAGCAGTGCACAACCCGAAATTCGAATTTTAGATCGGTCAATTTTCAGCCAAAATAATCTAAATGAGAAATGAAGATATCGTTAATAGGAGTTAAACAATAAAAAGACAGATGAAAACAGAGCTCGTATGCGAAAGATATGGACGAAGCTTAGTCTCTACTCTTCGAGCGCGGCGAATTCGATACAATTTTGTAATTCCAAAATAGAATGAGAACTAGCCAATGGTGTCTAAATGAAAGTTGTAGTACTCATAAATACCAACACGTGGATATAAATAACGTCGAAAATGAAGGTCGTATGTGAAAGATATGGACGAAGCTTAGTCTCTACTTTTCGAGCGCGGCGAATTCGAATACGGTTTTGTAAATATGAGATACAATGAGAATTAGCCGACGGGGTCTCAATGAAAGTTGTAGTACTCGTAGATACCAAAGCGTGGATATAAATAATGTAGAAAACGAAGCTCGTACGCAGAAGATACGGACGAATCTTAGAGACTACTCTACGATAAAATCCCTATAAATAAAAGATGATTCCTTCATATTTTCTTCACTCCATAACCTCTCTTTCTCTCTCTAACTTCTATCTAGCCTCCTTAAACCCCTACCAAGTCTAGAGAACCTCTCTATTACGAGAAGGAAACCCTGGAGTGCCCGACAACTCCGAGAAGAAGAGCTTTTGGCTCGGAAACGCTGCTCCAGCGAAACCTGATTTTTTTTAATAAAAATCCGTTGTAAGTGAGCTACGCCTACACTATTTCTAATATAGCTTTTATTTAAAATATAGTAATGTTATTAGGACCTTATAATAATTATTTGAGCTATTATGATGAGTTATATAAGTGTCGTTATAATATCTTTTTAACCACTCGCGGTACGGGGAATCTGGTTTAAAGGGCCGCATAGGTTTGTTGGATTTTAGAAGTGCTATATGCCAAAATAGTCTTGCCCTCCGGTGTTTTATGTTTGGCCCCTGTCTGTACATAGTGGTTGGAAAATATTATTTAAACTATTATAATAATAATAATAATAATAATAATAATAATAATAATAATAATAATAATAATGATAATAATAATAATAATAATAATTAGTCACGGTAAATATTAGACTAAAATCTAGTGGTAATAATACTAGGTTTCGTCGAAGGAAATTATATTGTTAAGAAGCGAAGTGCTGTCCGAGTTTGGAATCATCACTTTAACAAGTGAGTTCATATTTACTTTCATCTTACACACAAATATGAAGTATTTTATATAAATTACGTGTCATGTGTGCATATTATTTGGATACTTGCTGTCCATATTGGATGAATGATTTTATACATGTTTTAAATGATTTAAACTATATATTTATTTTATATCTACAAATATGTTGGGATAAAACATGGGTAGATGAAATAGTTGATGTGTGATGAAATAAAATGATGAGAGATAGGTGATGATAATTAGCTGAGGATAGATAGGTGATGATGAATCGGTGATGTAGGATGAAAGATACTATAACCTTGTCTGACAATTTGGAGATGTAGTCATCTACCAGAGTATAGATGGCGACCATAAACTATTATAGACAACCCCGTAGAAACACCAGTAGGCTCATAGCCTGTAGGTGATGAATTACGAGTTCAGGCGATGTTGTAACTACGTATTCATGCGATGATACTCTGACCCCTTACTATGAATTACGAGTTTAGGCGATGTTGTAACTACGTATTCATGCGATGATACCCTAACCCTTTTTGGGCACATATTGAAGGAGTAATCCCTGAATCAATACTGTCTATACGATGTAGGCGATGATCCTTAGGGAGAGTCCTTAGGAACAAACATATAAGGAAATGCGATGTAAGGAGATAAGAGGTAAATATGATGTAGGAGACGACCCTTAAGATAAATCCTTAAGGAAGGTACTTAGGAATAAAGAAGATACTGGGGATGGGTAATTGGGTTAATTGTTTGATGATTAAACATAATAATTATGTTATTGTGGGTTGAAAACCCTATATACTCACCAGGTTTCCCAACCTGACCCACTCAGTTTAATTGTATCACAGGTGACGATGTGAAGTTACATTACACTGAGAGATTAAGGAGATATAGATCACTAGTGTAAATGAATGTAAATTTTGTTTATGCTTATGTTTCTGTATTGACGATGACATCCCAAATGTTTTAAAAGGAATAAAAATACATTTCTTCGAAAATGCTCTGATAATGAAATTATCATGTTTTTCTGGGAATAAATTCCGCAACGTTTTTATTGAAAAAGATACTATGATTTTTATAAAGCATAAACAAAATCGGTCTTTTCTGGCCGTGAAAATAGGGATGTCACACACGATCTTCATAACAAATAAAAGATCTCCTTCTAGCCAATGAGGGAAGGAGGCCAAAGACCTGTCGGAGGACCCTCCAATATGGGTTCGCCATGTCACTCCTCACGAAGGAATGTTCAATAGAATTAGTTGAGGGATATGCCTCTTAACCATGTATAAAAGGATCCTTCTTCCTCACGAAGAAGGGATATAATTCTCCTTTTCCTATAATCTACTACAATCTCTCTCAGATCTCATACTAACTTGATCGTCGGAGCTTCGTCCCGGGAACTCCTCCCGGACGTCGACTAACGGTCATCTCTCTCTTTTGCACTGTGGTAATAGGAAAAGATACCCACACAGATCTCCCCTATGGTTCCAACTCAATCCTCTCTGACATATCATAATAGCCGCGATGGCTTGTTGGCCTTGATAATTGTTGCATGAGCGAGGCCCAGTGATGGTTAGTATCTCTGGCCTCTTGTCATGACCCTTTCCCCCGTCTTTTTGATTTCTAGGTTGGTGTTGTTTTTCATCAAATTTTGTTTTAAGATCTTTTACGGTGTCAACTATGTTTCAAACCAGCTGCTTCTAATATGTCTCCCTTTTCATCGTCGTGCATTCAGTGGTATCATGAGTTTTGCTCTTATGGTACTCATAGAACCTGGCTTTGTCCTTGCTCTCCTTTGATGAAGTTTTATTGATTGCATGGACATCTGCATGACTATTCCTGTTGTCATCTTTGTTGAACAGCCTGTACCTCCTTGACATGTGCCTAGAGTGGCGATTATGTTTCTGTTGGTTACCCTCTTGCCTCTCTTGCTAAGTTGAACTTGGCTGGGACACCACCTCCTCCTGTTTGATGTACGCGTTGGCTACGACTTTGAGATTGGTATCCTTTTTCTCTTCTCCTTCAATTTGTCTCAGGTATTTTTCCACTTGAAACTTGAACTCGTTCCTGGATCTGGGGACCGTCCCTTGCATCTTCTTAGATAGGGGCCCCGGAAGCAGACCTTGAGCGTATGCGCCTGTCACCAGGAACTATTCATTTCCTGGGACGCTCAAGGTAGCTAGTGTGAATCAGTCGTAGTAGGCACTAATCAAATCTCCTTCTTTTTACTTACACACCATCACAAAGTTGGCATTCCTTTTTCCTTTCCTCAACTGCATGAAGTTGTTGAGGAAAAGGTACTTCAGTTGCTCAAAATTCGAAATACTACCTGGTCTCGGAGACTTGAACCATTTTCCTACATTTACTGTTAGGGTGTAGGAAAAATAGGTGCAGGTGAAGCGACAATCCATCTTAGTAGCTGTCATCGTCCACTCGCAGTTGTCGATGTCGTCATCTGGGTCAGAAGTGCCGTCGTATTTCGGCATGTTCGGTATCATCGCAACGTGTGGGATCTCGTATTGTAGTAGTTCATGGCTGAAATTAGAGCTTGCACTTTGCATGAGGTTGTCCATGTATAAGTACAACACACCACCATATGCCATATGCTACTGCGCTTGGTAGGGATTCGCGTACATATGGTTGTACATGGCTGCTAGCCAGATGTATGGTTAATATTGTTGCAAGTTTGGTTGTGACCCAAATTGCTGAAATGCGTATTGCCCTATTGGGTGAACTATATATGGGTTTGCTCCCATACACTATTGTTCAAACGAGTTGAATGGTTGAGTAGTCGCCATGAAAGGGGTGAATTTTGGTGTTGTTGAGAAATGGACGCCAGGTCCGTACGAGCTGGTTCCCTGGTTGATCGAGGTCCATACGCCTGTGACTTGCAGTTGAGATACTTCTGGGATTGGACCTTGAGCCTATTTTACGAACGGGTTGAACATCGGTGGTTGCTGTATGAACAACAAGTAGGGCATGCATGCCATAGTGGCGTGTGGGTAGATCACCAATGAATATTGTGATTGCGGTTGAATATTGTGAGGGATCCAGGTTCAGGTTCCTGAATTGTGTGGAAATGATTGTTGTTGAGAAACATGTATCTTTGTTTGCTGTGTTGCGACAATCTGTGGAGTTGCGGTTACGATTGCTGCTTGCTGAGATGGGTTAATTGTTGGACGCCATAGACTGGTTATATAGGTTGCCGCCGTTTCAGCTGTAGAGCTGGATGGTGTCTGTGAGACTGGCGTGCAATTTGAAGCGTGTTCTTCCTGGATGGAAACTTGCTCTCCATCTAACGGCTGCATTGGACGCACCATGCTTTTTCTCCGTTCCCCCTGACGTTGCCGGAATTTCGCCTGCCGTCTTTTCTCTTTGGTTTTGCTTCGTGGATGTATCGTTATGGAGATACGTCCGGATGGCGCCAGATGTTGTGATATGTTGGAGATGGTAGGATTGAGATCAAGGGTGGGTGTCGAGCTGGTTACTTCTCCTGATATCACAGTACACAGAAAAGAGGTGATCGTTAGACAAACGTTCGGGGGTGGTTCCCAAGACAAAGCTCCGACGATCAAGTTAGAATTGATTCTGAGAGAAGATAGAGAACGTCTGAGAGAAAAAGAGTCCCGTCCCCTTCTCCGTGGGGAAGAAGGATTCTTTTATACTTGATCGAGAGGCATGTGGCTCCAAACTGATTCTGTTGAGCCTTCCCTCGTGAGACGAGACGTGATAGATCTGTATTGAAGGATCCTCTATCACGTCTTTCTATCTCTTTCCCTCATTGGCTAGAGGGGAATCTTCGATATAATGATAATCGTGACTGTCGTTAGATGGACAAGTGGAGCTCTTGATTGGCTCCACGTTTGTCGAGGTATTTCTCCTGGGGAGAAGAGGATAAGGCGCAGTTCTGCTCCTTAACCACCCTACCAGTGAGTCCATGCAGGTGGAGGCCCGCTCTTTGTCTCAGATTGGGTATGACCAGACTCTAACTAGGCAAAGCTTGGCGCTAGTTTGACTTTTATTCTTTAACGTTTTTCCTGAGGGATATGTTAGCATGTGTGTAACCATTTTTGTGTTGACAATATTTGTATTTTATACATACACATACTTTCACAGCTATTATATGTGGTTTTCCGTTAAAATTAATTTCTTAGGTGTATTTTTTTTAATAACAAACGTTTCCTTCTAACATAATGGTTAATGGTGGCCTTCATACATCATCCACAATGTCACTGGGCTGTCCTTAGCACAATTGCCTAGTATAACTTAAAGTTAACCAAAACTTTATATATAACTTAAAGTTAACCAAAACTTAAGAAAAATCCCTTCATAACCAACTATTTGGTACGGGGCACGAAATGGGTTTTGGCTATGAGAAATGAACCTTACTATTTTATATTTATTTATTAACTTTTTTTTTCAAAGCTATACATTTTAAATGTCGATTGTGATATTTTTCTGTTTTAATCTAAACCGATAGCAGTTTACAATGTACAAAAAACGGTATGGTTATGTGTTGAAATGGGTGCTAATACTAAATGTTTATTTGTTACAGGGCCGGTCTAAATGTATATAGGACCCGAAGCGAAAAGAAAAAAAGATCTCTTATAGATAAATATAAAAAATATTCAAAAAAATATCATTTATTATTGATTATAAACACATTCAATTAACAATAAGAAGCAGACCGAATTTTTTTATCTTTTGAGTTAGTTTGAGTTTGAACCAACTTTAGGTCCTAAAAATCATATTGCTAATAATTTTTTTTTATATATATACACTATATAGCCAATAAATTTTGGGCTCTCAGAAGTCGTGAGCCCTGAGCGGTCGCCCGGGTTGCCCACCGTCTGGACCGGCCCTGATTTGTTATATTTATAAATCTAAACCATTAGAACCACAGTTTTTGTGAACGAGGAGGTATGGACTATGGAAGTTATAACTTATGTTGATTGTTTTTATTCTTAAAATCTCTAATTATGAATTTGTAGTAAATTATAGTCTTGGTCCCTATGGTTTACATCAATCTATATTTTTAGTTTAACTTTTGAATTTTTGACATAACTAGTTTATGTGGTTTCCAAAAATTGCACCCTTAGTTCTTGAGACTTTTACCATCTACGATGCTCTGTTAGTACATTAAAATGACGAAAGTGTCTCCTTTTGTATTTTTTTTTTGTACTTTGTTATTTTAATTAATATGCAGATGATACCATATATCCCAATCTTAACAAACTCTCACACCACCATTACATGACCATTCACCAACACCGTTACACAACAAATCATCAACACCACCACTAATACCAACACCACCATATACTTTTGCTAGAAAATCAACCACTAACCACCACCATCACCAGTACTAATACGAACACCACCACATTATCCTATCACCACCACCACCCACTGTCAGAAGATAACCAACCACCATTGACATTAGCACCACTTGTGTCGCCATACTAGTTAACCATTAAACTATCACCACCACCACCACTAAAACCCTATCCTACTAACACCACTAAAACTTTCCCACCCCTTGATCATCAATACCATCACTACAAACAAATGGGAACACTAAATCTAAAATCAAAACCAACATTGTTTGACGTAGCATGAAGTGGATTTTGCCTTTAGGATATGTTAAGATGGTGACGTTGGACAATAACATGTACGATGGGGTAGAGAGATCTAGTGATGAAGGAGGTGGTCGTCGTCGAAGGTAGTTAAGGAGGGAGAGGGGTGAGGCATGAATGGTGGGCAAAAACGGTCTCCATATGCAGACGATAGGGATAAATGGGAGAATGTGGTTGTTGGTGACCTCCGATGAGATGGAGGCGGTGGTCATTAATGGGTTCTAGTTGGCCGAAGGAGAAGAGAGAACCATTGTGAATGTGAAGATGATCATTGATGGTTGTAGACATATTAGGTTTGTTTGAATTTTATAGAACTAATCCTTTAATGTATAAGAAATTACAAATATTGCCCTTACAGTTTATAATTTTTTTGTATTTTGTTCGAAGGTAATCTGGTCAATCTGCATCCACTTAACAGAGACCCGTTCACAATAACAGCCTCAAGGACCATATATGCAACTTTTGGAAACCAAATGCACTAGCCATGAGCCATATCAACAAAAAATGAAGGGTGAATTACAGAAATGGTCCATATGGTTATGTATATTTTTGAATTAAGTCATGACTTTTCATTTGTATCACTAGCCATCCTTATTGTTTAGTTTAGTTTTGGTTTTGATCCCGCACATACATCAAATGAATATTTTGCCCTCAATTATTTCTTTATTTTTTATATTATTAATAATGTTAAAAACTAAAATAACCCACTCACTAAAGAACCCCACGTTCCCCCCATTTCTCTCTCTCTCCACTCTCTCTCTCTCTCTCTCTCTCAATACCATCGCCCTCACCTCATCTCTTCTATCTCAACTTGAAAATTTGAATGATTAAAGCTTGGAAATGAGAAGTACTTGACAGATTCGTAAAATAAATCAATTAATAACCCACAATCGTTAGTGATGCATATGTAAATAGAAGGAGAAATAGACTCAAAATCCAAGTTTCTGAAGGTAGACCTAGACACAGTGAGAGCTGAGAAGTAGAAGGAGAAAGAGATTTAATAATTGTAGCCAATCTGTATGTCAAAGGAGCAGAGGTGGAAGATAATTTTTTTCCCTTTTTCTGATGCAATTATTGATCAAATGGAGGTTTTCTCTTGATTTTTTATAGTTTGTAACCAAGGTCAAATTAGTAAAAACATAGTAGGAAATTATGAGAGTTCTTTCGTTCCCTTATGGAGAAGAGAGGCACAAGAAGAAGTAAAAAAATTGTGGATCCTGGTTAGAAAAGAGATAAAGAATGACAATTTTGTCTTTTTCTTTTCTTTTTTGTTCTCAAGGTACTAGACAACAAAATGGGGTAACCAAACAAAACCAGTTCTTTTCTTTTTGAGGTGTGTGAATAGCTTAGAAGTGTGTACTTATACTCTTGGGTATTTTGGGATGATGTCTTGGATGATCGATATTTTCTGAAGCTTCGTATGTATTGCTGAAAGCTATGGCTAGGCGGGGTTGCAGTTGCTGGAGACTATTTTTTTGAAGCTTTTGATATATCGTCAGAGATTACAGGGGTTCGTCTAAAATTCTTGTGACAATGGGGAGAGAGATAGAAAGAAAGAGATGATAAATGATATTTGGGGTTGATGCCATCTCATTTTTGGAAATAGATACTATTAAAAAACTAAAAATGAAATTGGTAAGGATAATAGTCATTTTATCTCAAACATGGAGATAACATGACAAAATAATACCATAAGGATTGTTTGTTTTCAAACTGAAAACTCAGGACTTGATTCAAAAAATATATATAACCACAGGGACTATATTTGTAATTTAGTCAAAATGAAACAAATTGGACTAAAAATATAGATTGGTATAAATCACATGGACCAAAACTGTAATTTGCTCATTAATTTATATAATTGGAGAGGACAGGCGTACTATATGACCTTGCTACCTCTCGATATTTTATTGTAATCACATTGAGTTTTCATAATTTATAGTTTTATTTAACTTAAATACATGTATCATTACAATCACTAAAAAAAAATCTTTGAGGATATTTACCAGGGAGGCCAAGTGGTCCTTGGTCAGACAACACACGTGACCTTAAGTACGGTGGGGAATTGATTTGATGGATTAAAATAAATTACTTAAATATTTAAAATTTTGAAATGGGGAATGAATTGTTTATATTATTAGTTCGATATTATTCCCCAACAATCATACTCCCATTTCCTTTATACGCAGGAATATATATATATATATATATATATATATATATATATATATATATATATATATATATATATATATATATATACTAGCCGTTACCCGCGCACAGCGGCGGGGACAGATAGCTTCTTTCAACGATATTTTTTTAAGAAAAATGTTATGTTCCAAAAGAAAGTTCATGTCGTGGGTGAGAGGAAGAGCGGTAGTCGTGATAGTAGTTAGTTGAAAGCGAAAGGAGGCAGAGTGGCTGTGGTGGTGGTGGTGATACTATCTTGGTTACTGGTTAGGTTCTTCGAGAGAGTGTGCGTATATTTCTTACTTTGAAGAGATTACGAAGATAGATATTATGAGATGGCTTGTTACCAATGTGAGAGAAGAGATCCTCTATAAATTGTTGACATTGACCGCTTCAAATGGCTGAAGTGTTGAGATTGACGGGTTCAATTTGCAAATGAATTCTTCTATTAATTTGATACGAGATTTTTAGGGGATAAATGATAAGGTTAAAGTTTTAATATTATTATATTATAAATAGGTTGTACTTCAAGCTTAATAGTTTGGACGTCTTAAAAAAATAATATTATTATATTTAATCTATTTATAGAAATAGTTAGATTTCTTTATAAGTAGTAAAGATATATATATATATATATATATATATATATATATATATATATATATATATATATATATATATATATATATATAGGGTAAAGTGAATATACCTAACAATCTTATATAAGCTTAGGTAACTAACCACATTATACTACATTGTTTTGCATTATATTTACATTGCAATCGTCTAAGGTTGTTAAACTTCAACCTTTAACTTGATTTACTTCCAAGATTTTTAGACATTCACCATTGTATTCCTCCTACACCATTTGATTTGTAACGGTAGTATATGAAGCCCACCAGGGGGTCTCCGATAGAACGACATCATTTGAAGGAAGATAATGGTGAAAGTCCAAAGATTTTGGAAGCAATCAAGTTATGAGGTTGAGTTTTAAGAACTTTGGGTGATTACAATGCAAATATGATACAAAATTACGTAGTATGATGTGGTTAGGTACCTAAGCTTATATAAGGTTGTTAGGTATATTCACTTACCCATATATATATATATATTGTTGATGTTGAAGAAGATATTGCCGGCATAGGAAAAATAGGTAAAGAATAAAAAAAAAATCAAAAACTTTTCCATCGTATAGGAAAATTAGGTGTTACCGGTGCCATACCAGAACATTAAACAAAACCGTCCCTGATTATAATTACTTAATTAGCATTCAAATTAAAAATAGTTGTATATCGAATGAATTTTAATTAAAATTTATTTTAAAGATATAATTTAAAATATAATTACTTAATTAGCATTCAAATTAAAAATAGTTGTATATCGAATGAACTTTAATTTAAATTTATTTTAAAGATATAATTTAAAAATATTTTGACAATACTGTACTCATATTGATCCAAGAATAAAGGGAGCCACATTCTCCATGGCACAGTGTGTGTGATGCTATCGTCAACTTGAGTCGTAGAATTAGAAGACTTGATTGTGAAGAGTACAATACTGTATTAGAAATTAAAGTTGTCAAAATTATAACACAAAACCAACAAACATGCTATCAATCAAACCAAGAAAATTGGTAGCCAAATATATTTGATAGCTAACATGTTTGGTTGGTAGTACCATACCAAATGAACAATCTTGGTAAGGTAATGATATAAAATTTTGAATATCATGGTAACACGGTATCAACAAATATATATATATATATATATATATATATATATATATATATATATATATATATATATATATATATATATATATATATATATATATTGTTAAGATCAAATAAGAAGGAAATCATAGGTAGGAAGGTAAGAAATTTTTTTATATGCATATTTTCTTAGCAAAAAATGAAATGAATCATTAGATGATTCAAAAGTAAGAAAATTCACAAGAAAAAATTCTAAAAAAAAACACCTTCATGATTAATTTTTAGGTAAATCAAGAAAAAAAAATTCATTTTTATGACAACTTTAGTGAATATCAACAAAATCATCATAAAAATGAATCATCGAAATGTTTTTTCGGAAATTTTTTGATGAATCATGTTATTATTGATTCATTTAGTGATTCATTTGTTTTTTTCGCCAAAAAAATAAGTCAAAATTTTTTTTTTTACCTTCCCGAGAATGTTCCCGAAGAAAAGTTAAGAATCCTTGCCGTACACGGATTTTCCACATCTACTCAGCGAATTGGGGACCTACTCGCCGAGTTGCCCCTGTTGTGTGATAAGTATAATTATTGAATCTTATTCCGAATTGGAGACTTTTCTGGCTTTTTGGGAGATACACCTGCGATTGAAGAACCCTTTGGAGACCTGAAGAACCCTAATCTTTGATCTTTTGAAGACTCAAGGCGAATTTGGTTATATTTTCCACTGAATCTTAGGATTGAATCATGTCTAGCTTAGTTAAATTCATTTTTGAGCTTGTTTCCACTGTAATCATGAGCTAAATTCGTGTTGTTTCTGTTTAGGAAAAACCAAGTTACTCCTATGGTTTGATTATTACTTTTATTGATTGTTTATTGGTGAGTTTATTAAATTAAGTTTGTTAAAGAACCTTATGCATTAACCATAACTATTTTCTGTTAATTGGAAGACAATTAACCTGCATGAACATCTCTTAGTTGTTAACCTCATATGTTTATGTGAACACTTCATCATATGTCTAGGAATAATGAACATGAAACTATGATTAATTAGAGAATGGGTAAATTAATGTGTGAGCTTGTTTGAGAAACCAACAAACAAGAGGTTAATTGAATCACCACCTTGATTAACCAATTACAAATCTTATTTAATCCAAATAAATGAACTAGGAAGTTAATTAGTTTAAACAATTAGCCACTGCTTGAATTGATTAATTTTCTAAGGGTTAGTAATAGTGAACATGAATCTACCATTATAGTTGGTAACTAATAACAATTAATTTATCATTTTATTATACAAATAACCATAAGA